AATCAAAGGAGACTCCTTATAGAGTTTGATGTTTGCTAAAAATTTCAAGCTGATATCTTTTTTCGTTTTTGAGTTATCGTGTAGACAAAAAACGTGACATCGGACAGTCGGACAAAGTAAACCTATAATACCTACTCTTCACAGACTACTTACTGTGTGAAGAGTATAATAATAAGAATACAGGGTGTTTCATTGGGAAAGGGCCTAACTTTAACTGTAGATGGTATAGTTCTTCCATTATCAATTGCAGATCATAAAAACTCGTTCGGAACCTTTACCGACAATTTTGTTTGATCTGCCATAGGCGTAGATACCTACCTCATTTTATAAATTTATTTTATAAATACTTTTAATATATATCATATGCAAGAAAGTATTCGTTAAAAGGAAATCGAATAATTATAAATTGGACGTTATTATACGCCCTTATTTAGACAGATGCACTTAATTGTAATCTTCCTTGGACTTAAAAAAAATCATTATAGCTCGTTAACTTGCTACTACTGAATATTAAATTATAAAACGTAAAAAAGCGAGTAAAGTGTACCTGCCTGTAAGGGCGTTTGGTTTAAACAGGGTACCAGAAGTGAACTGAACCCTTTTTGTACCCCATTCGTTCTTTTTCTGGAAAACGAAATTTCAGAGAAAAAACCATAAAGGAAAATACATTCTTTGCAAATAAAACAAAAGAAAAAAAAAACAATTTAATTCTAAAATATCTTTATAAATAATCATGGCAGTCTGAATCCTCTGAACTAGAGTCATCATTTGGTTGAATTATGATGGGTTGTAAAGAGGGTAATACTACATACTCATCTTCTTCTTTGATAACATGTTCAACACAGTTTTTCCAAAGCTCTTGGCGGTCTGCTGCTAGAACTTTCTTTACGAGTTCTACAACTACTTACTCAGTTCTGGAGACTGATTACATTTTCGTAATTCTGATTTTAAGTTTGCCAATATTAACTCTATACGGTTAAATATGCAATAGTAAGGAGGTAGTCTGAGAAGAGTTTGCACAGCTTGTCAATATAATACATTTTTTCTAACTTTATACCTTTAATAACAGTAAGCAATTCTTTGTTTGTTGGTCCTTTTTTACTATCACTGGCAGGAATAGGAATATTTTTTTCAGACATAAAAGCTAAAATTTGAGCTTTTTTACTGCTACTATTTGGTATTTTAAGGAGTTGCCGCGAGTGGTATGATGCGTTGTTCATAACGATTACTGACTGTGGTGGAATGTAAGGTAAAAGCTGTTCATTAAACCGTTTTTAAATAATTCTGCTGTCATGATAATCAGCTGCACAGTTTTTAATTTGTTTAGCTTATAATAATAAAGCATTAGGCATGCAATCGTCTTTGCTTCCAGCGTGTACTATTATAATGCGTTTCCCTTTAGAACATGGCCCATTCAAACAGCAATTTTTACTACTGCCAACCCAACCGAAATTTACTATATCGTGACTGTCAAACCATGTTTCATCTAGATAAATTATGTGTCTATTAGAACTTCTGTAGCCTTTTATCTGACGCAAATAATCTTGTCGCCATTGAACTATCCTTGACGATTCGGTGATTGCCATCTGTTTATTCAATTTTTTGTGTTTAAAACCACATGCTGACAGAACTTGACGCAATGTTTCCAAACTGGTATAAGTGCATCCTGGAAAATCTGCCACCTTTTGATGTATTACTTCCAATGTCGGAACCCTGTTCTTCTTATATAAACTATACATTGTCCTTCGTATAAAATCTTGGGTAGCTCTGTCAACTGATTTCAGTTTTTCTTTACATGTTTTTCGGTTTTATGAATAATCCACAGCAACCCCTTTCGTGACTACCGGATAAACGGAAAATTTATTTACTTTAGTTACTTTAGCAATTTTTATTATGAACGCATTATCAGACTGCTGAATATTTTCCTTTTTTAAACATTCGAATATATTTAAAATAACTTGTTGTGTTTGTATATCTAAATCCTTATCGTTAAAGTCATACCTGTCTTTAATCTCACTACACTGTGCAATTTCATTTTCTTCATTCGCCCATGGTCTAAAGAACGCCATATTTATATTTATTAAAAGAAATTTAAATTAAACCAACCACACATATAAAACACACCGCACGACAATACTCCACTGATATCGCAGACTGTCTTCCAGGAATATTTTCGAACACCTGCATTCCGTAAACCTTCGGCCAATACAGTGCATTTAAGTTTACAATTCGATGTTTTCATTGGTAAACAACTAATGGTTCGTTTAATATTTACCGCTTTGTATAAGGGGAGTAAACATTATTTTTCGTTTCTTAATTTGGCATGAATACCGTGCGTATATATTAAATATTGATGATTCCCCACATAACTGTGTTCTGCAATTGATAATGGAAGGACTATAATCACTTTGGTGTTTCCAAAAACCTATATTTAATGTGTCTTCTGCACTTTATAACCGAGATAAAAGGTGTTTTATAAATTTATCCTATTTCTTTCGAACCTCATAACTTCCGAGTTACCCTGTATATTATTTTGAAAGTTGGTACACGTAATAACCATTACCTAGAAACTCCACCAAGAGCATCTCCAAAAAGATAATGCAAGTCCGGCTTAACAAAAAATTTCAAAACTCGTCTTTCCTAAAAACAACACCCTGTATATAGATTTTTTTTAAATTGCTCTTTATAATTGGAAAGAGTATAAAAAATCGAATCTATTTATTTTCTTTTTATTTTTCCGCAGACAATTTTACTACCAAAAATTTACCGTCGTTATAATTTATGCACGTTTTGGGGGTTAACAATGGTGTCGGAGAGGTTTTTTTTTATTTTTTAGCTTGAAATGAAATCTATTTAATGCATCTAGAGAAGCATCCTAGAAATTCAATTGAGTTTGTATATTTACGAGCACAGACCACTAAAAAATGTGATTACAGGGCCATACTTAGGATATACTCATTCAACATGTTTCGAATGTTTCGAATATTTCGAATACCCTAAATAAGGATATGTATCTGGAAACTATGCACTTCTGCATTTAGAAATAACAAGAGTAAAATACGAGAAATAAATGTATACTTCAAAAAACGTTAAAAGTACTCGTATAAACTAGATAATACTTCAAGCAGGCTATGGAATAGACACAACATTGAAGTGTGTGTCATTTATTTCTAGTTTCTGTCAAACAGTGTTCGATGTTTTGAACTTCCTACAGTATTTTCTTTTTGCCCAGTATTAAATCATTATGCCTCATCAATTTTCTAACCGAGAATACGCAGATATTTTATTTATTTATGGATTTTGTAATGGTAATGGTACAGCTGCAAAAACTGAATACGGAAGAAGGTTCCCTGACCGAAGGTTACCAAACCGTCGTAAAACATTTATTAGTGTTTTTAATTACTTAGGAGAACACGGCAGATTTTCAACGGTTACATTAAATAAACATCAGGAAAGAAGGCATTTAAATATTGAACAAAATATTTTGAATATTGTTAATAATAATCCGGAGATTAGTACAAGAAGAATTGGACATGCTACAAATGTACCTCATGTTACTGTTGGGCGGCGACTAAAAAAACAATCTTTATCCATTTCATATACAAGAAGTACAGCGACTTCAAGCAGGGGACAAAATTCCACGAATGAATTTCAGCAATTGGATCGAATCTATTTATTTTCTTTTTATTTTTCCGCAGATAATTTTGCTACCAAAAATTTACCGTCAAAGTTATAATTTATGCACGTTTTGAAGGTTAACAATGGTATCGGAGAGGTTTTGTTTTATTTTTTAACTTGAAATGAAATCTATTTAATGCATCTAGAGAAGCATTCTAGAAATTCAATTGAGTTTGTATGTTTACGAGTACATACCACTAAAAATGTGATTACAGGGCCGTACTTATAGTATAGAATAGTATAGAATATTTCGAACGCCCTGTATAAGGATATGTATCTGGAAACTATGCACTTCTACATTTAGAATAACAAGAGTTAAATACGAGAAATAAATTTATCCTTCAGAAAATGCAGAGATTTTTATAAATTTTATTAATTGACATGAAAAGAAAACAAGAAATTCTAACAACATTATCCAAACGAAGCAAGTCTAACTTACAAAAATTGTTCAAAATGACCTCCATTCTGCTCTATGCACTTTCTTGCCCTTTTTGTAATATTACGAACGGACCTTCTGATCCAGGGCCGTAGCTAGCCCCATGTTTCAGGGGGGTTAAACAAAATCTTGGGGGGGCTTCATTTTTTTATTAGAGCATAAAAATTGCAAAAATACATGAGGTTTTGTTTTGAATTCCCTTCCTCGGAGGAGGGTATTAAAAAAACAAGTAATTACAAAACATATTTATTCAATAAAAAAACATTTTGTTTAAACAAAAGAATAAACTCTACAACAAAAAAATATAAAACGTCTTTTCCAAAGAACATCTAACTGGTTGAGGGTTGAGTTAGTAAAAGCGGCATCAAATATGCCAAAGAGTCAAAAAATTATTTTTTTTTATTAATTTTCAAAATAATTGCAGTTTCCTATTTTTTAAATTAATAGCAGCAGATTTTCAATATTTATGTTCTTTGTTCTCTTTTTCAAATGCTAAATGGGTAAGGTTTGCCAGTCTCGGATGTAACATTGACCTCCGCTGAGGTCGCTGAGGTCTATCAATTCTAGTAAGGGTAGAAAAACTGGATTCACAAAGAGCCGTACTACAGGAGAAAGTACGGCAAGTCGCTAGAAATTCATAAGTTTCTTTAAAAGCAGTGTTTTGCCTAAAAATACACTAAAAAATATCGGGATTCTCTGCAGCATTCTCGTTTCTCTGTCGATTTATATATTTCTTGACGACTTCTATTTCCGCAGCACTTGTCAATTGAATGCCCAGTTCGACCAGTGGTTGATATTTTTCAATATCTAATTTTTCTCCTGACATAATAGCTTCAATTAAATCATTGTTGTCGTTAAATATACGTCTTAGCTCTACTAATATTATGTCAAGAACTTCAAAAAATATTTGTTTGAAATTTGCTTCGCTAACGACTGTAGATCTCATAGGCTCGGTAAGTACAAAATTTTCTAACACTTTGCTGGGTTTTCTTTTTTTAGCGGTGACAAAATATCTTGGTTTGACACTACAGGAAAATTAGGGGAATTACCGAAATAAAATTTATGGTTGTCCGTTTTCCGATTTCCAATTTATTGTCTGTGGCTTTGTGTTGATTAAAATGGACAGTAAGCAATAAGTAACTGTTAATAAATAAGGTATTTTCTTGTAAGAGAATATAATATAAGTGAACCATTACTAAAAATATATTGATATAACGGTTCTACTATAAAAATTTTATAGTAAGTACATTTTTTCCCAATTCACATTTCCAAAAAAAATCAGTACAATTTTAAAAATCGTCGATGCGACTCATTGTTCATTGTTTGCATTTTTCAACGGCCGTTAATCGCGTTTCTATATATGGGCAATTTTCTAGGGGGGGCGCAGACAAGCATTAGGGGGGGCTCAGCCCCCCTTGGCGCCCCCCTCGCTACGGGCCTGTCTGATCACATCTGGATTATTTCCGATTTCTCTGCAGGCATTCTCTATTCTTCGAAGAAATTCTTCTCTGCTATTGATGTCGGTAGCATATACTTTTAATTTTAGATATCCCCAAATATGGTAATCCATGGGAAGTTAGGTGACCTTGAAGACCAGTTATTGGGACCACCTCTGCCTTTCCATGAATTAGGAATTTTCATTTAAAAAATTTCTTACTATGACTCTGTAATGCACCGAAGCATCGTCATGCTGACAATACATTCCTGCTACATTTACGCTTGCACCATCTAATAGCACTGGTAAAATATTCTGCAGAAAATCCAAATAGACTTCGCCAGTCAGTCTATGTGGAAAGATGTGTGGTCCTATTAATTTATTATCAATGAGAAAATTTGCTTTGCGAATGGGCTTCTCTTGTAACAAATGGATTTTCTTCTGCCCAAATGTGCGAGTTCCGTAAATTATAAACGCCGTCTCTTGTAAATTGAGCTTCATCCGTGAATAGAACTCTACTTAAAATTCTTGCATTTCGAATGATCCAATTGCTGAAATTAATTCGTGGAATTTTGTCCCCTGCTTGAAGTCGCTGTACTTCTTGTATATGAAATGGATAAAGATTGTTTTTTCAGTCGCCGCCCAACAGTAACATGAGGTACATTTGTAGCATGTCCAATTCTTCTTGTACTAATCTCCGGATTATTATTAACAATATTCAAAATATTTTGTTCAATATTTAAAGTAATTAAAAACACGAATAAATGTTTTACGGTTTGGTAACCTTCGGTCAGGAAACCTTCTTCCGTATTCAGTTTTTGCAGCTGTACCATTACCATTACAAAATCCATAAATAAATAAAATATCTGCGTATTCTCGGTTAGAAAATTGATGAGGCATAATGATTTAATACTGGGCAAAAAGAAAATACTGTAGGAAGTTCAAAACATCGAACACTGTTTGACAGAAACTAAAAATAAATGACACACACTTCAATGTTGTGTCTATTCCATAGCCTGCTTGAAGTATTATCTAGTTTATACGAGTACTTTTAACGTTTTTTGAAGTATACATTTATTTCTCGTATTTTACTCTTGTTATTTCTAAATGCAGAAGTGCATAGTTTCCAGATACATATCCTTATTTAGGGTATTCGAAATATTCGAAACATATTGAATGAGTATATCCTAAGTATGGCCCTGTAATCACATTTTTTAGTGGTCTGTACTCGTAAACATACAAACTCAATTGAATTTCTAGGATGCTTCTCTAGATGCATTAAATAGATTTCATTTCAAGCTAAAAAATAAAATTGTCTGCGGAAAAATAAAAAGAAAATAAATAGATTCGATTTTTTATACTCTTTCCAATTATAAAGAGCAATTTAAAAAAAAATCTATATACAGGGTGTTGTTTTTAGGAAAGACGAGTTTTGAAATTTTTTGTTAAGCCGGACCTGCATTATCTTTTTGGAGATGCTTTTGATGGAATTTCTAGGTAATGGTTATTACATGTACCAACTTTCAAAATAATATACAGGGTAACTCGGAAGTTATGAGGTTCGAAAGAAATAGGATACATTTATCAAACACCCTGTATCTCGGTTATAAAGTGCAGAAGACACATTAAATATAGGTTTTTGGAAACACCAAAGTGATCCCCATTTACAGTTAAAGTTAGGCCCTTTCCCAATGAAACGCCCTGTATCAAGGCTAAAACAATAAGGGTTGTAATTAACTGAACAGTATATAATTGATTATGTACAGTATAAATATTACAAGCAGTCAGTAAAATATTGTAAAAGACTCAGTACTTATATAAAATATGATGAGTAAACAATGAATTTTGGAGCAGTAAAATTATTATTTGGCCTGTATTTCTATGTTCACTTTTGTAACTATGATGGTCAGTAAAAATTAATGAAATGTCAGTATGAATTAGCCGGTAATAATTCTACAAATGGTCAGTAAAAATTAATAAATGGCCAGTATGCAACAGTCGGTAATAATTTTAAAAATGTGCATTAAATAAGTAGTATTATGTTTTTAGATCGAGTGTTTCATGTTTTTGAGCTACCGGTTTGCAGCAAAGAAGAAACTGAATATTTTGTTTTCTGTTTAAAACAATTAAGTCTGCCTGTCAGGATATATTTCAAAAATCAATTGCCCCAAAATACACTCGCGTATCGGAGACAACACTAATGATTTGTAATTGAGGTGGTGGGTATGTTTGTGTGAATGCGTCTTGTTTGTTTTCATTTACTAGCAGTAGTATTTTATAAACCATAGAAGCAAATTTCACATACATGAACAAATAATATTAATGCCGTGACAACAAGAAGACAAAGCAAAGACTTCTCGTAGGGTGGCGGCTTCGCCGCCACTAAAAAATTTTAATCCATACCTGGCTACGCCGACCGGCATAAACACCAACGGCCTGGACACAGCTCACCTACTCTGTCAAAAGGAGACCTATGTACAAATAAAACGCGTATTATTATACTGACCATTTATTATTTTCACCGACCATTTAATATTATACTGACCATTTATTATTTTTACTGACCATTTATTATTTTTACCGACCATTTATTATTATACTAACCATTTAATATTTTCACCGACCATTTAATATTATACTGACCATTTATTATTTTCCCTGACCATTTATTATCCGACTGACCAACTGAAATAAAATAATGGAAAAGTATACTTGCCATAAAATTTAAATAATGATCATTTAATTTGTGCCGAAACGGGTTAACATAATAGACAAAAAAAATTGGTACAATAAAAAAATGATAAAGTCAAAGTTTTGAGAATTATTTAATAGGTAATCAGTACCTCGGAGGTAAATTGCACTAGGTATTTCATTTTAGTTAACTTTTTAATAGAGCAGACTGAATGTTGTTTGGACACTTTTTGTGTTCCATATTTACATATTTACACTTCCTCAATAAATTAACGCACCATCAAAAAATAACAAAAAGTTTAAAGTAAATATTTGTCAAAACGACTTGTCTGATTTGGACGATTTTTTTTTAAATGAAAGGTTGTCTCTTACACAACGTCGGTGTGCTAACTGTGTTTGTATAAAACCCTCTTTTTTATTAATACAGGGTGTATCAATTATAACGTGATTTTTTCATAAAAGTTGTAACACCCTGTAGAGTGCAACAGTTACATTATCAAGTTAGAATTGATCTCACAATGTAGCCTTATCTATTCTTAACAATTTCTTTTCTTATTTACTCCATTATCTTTGTCATTATTTGAGAAACATTATTTTATAACATAACATGATTTTATTAAAAATTAATATCAATATTTAACAATAAAAACACGAAACAAAATGTAACGAAATAAGTTTCAGTAGCGAGTATTTCCGCCTCTGGCACGAATAACTTCTTGACAACGGTGGCCCATACTTAAAATAAGAGACCTTATGTCATTTTGGTCCAATTCTTCCCATATTTGAATCAGTCTCTGCCGTATATCTTCCAGAGAGTTCAGATTACGTTCCTCTTGTAATCCCCTCCCAAGAGTATCCCAGAGATTTTCTATCGGATTTAAATCCGGGCTCCGAGCTGGCCATGCCATGGTAGCGATACCAACTTCCTCTAGATAATTTCTCACAACTCGAGCAACATGAGGCCTGGCATTATCTTGCATCAACAAAAATCCCTGCCCTATATATGGTGCAAATGGAACTACATGTTCGTCTAAAATCTCCAATATGTACCTGTCAGCTTTAAGGCTTCCGTTTAAGATTACAAGTTCTGTGCGACCAGTCAAAGAAATGCCTCCCCAGACCATCAGAGATCCTCCTCCAAATAATGTTGTATGTGAGAATACCGTTCATTAGGGCGTCGGTATACGCGCATACGCCTATCATTGTTATACAGACAAAATCGAGACTCATCAGTAAATAATACCTGTTGCCATTCAGCTTCTAACCAGTTACGATGCTCTCTGGCAAAATTTAGCCTTGCTCTGCGATGAACTCTAGTTAGAACTGGACCTCGAGCAGCTATTCTAGGCCTCAAATTATGTTCCCTTAGTCGATGACGAACAGTTTCTGTACAAACTTCTAAACCATTAGTATCCCGAAGCTGGGTTTGAAGGGTCCGAGCTGTTACAAAACGTTGTCTTAAGGCTGACAGTCTTAAAAATCGATCCTGAATCGGAGTAGTTACTCGGTTTCTTCCTTGTCCCGGCCTACGACCATGATTTCCAGTCTCTCTATATCTTTGTATAACTCGTGAAACGGTTGTGTGGGTTACGTCAAATCGTTCACTAATTCTTCGGTAACTCCAACCCTCTTCAAACAATATTAAAACTTGAGCACATTCTTCGCGAGTAAGACTTCGTGGCATATTGTTTAATAATTTTTTTTGCAAAAAATGGCGAATGGACTAAATTCTGACAATACCCATCTGTATTTGACAATTACTGTTTTTTCCATAGCATGCTACTTACTTTAGTGCTTATAATGCTAATGCAAATGAATAAAGTCATG